AAATTAGTTTCTAGATCTTAGATATAGCATAGCCTAAAGCTCTTTCTTTGAGAAGATTTGAGAAACTCCCAAGGTCAAGAAATCTTCTTCAAGGATCTCCAAGATCTACAAGCTGTTTTGAGCTTTAAGAGAATTTATTTTTCTGCCCACCTTCTTAGTGGAAGACTCATTGCTGTTTTCATAATATCAGAGTGTTACAGTTCCAAGAGATTTGTTAAAAGATCCCTCTTAACGCGCTCTTTGAGCAGTTTGGGGAACTCTCTCTATTTCCTTCCTGGAATAGAAGACTTACTTAACAACTCTTATTCTAAAACTTTCTCTATGCGAGAATATTGAACTGTTTAAAAGATCCCTTTCTGATTTTTTTCTGAATCCCTTGCCTATCACCTTGGGTGGTAGATGACTCTTATCAAGATCATATTTCTTAACAAAAGAGAAACATTCTCCTTAAGCTCCAACTCTTAACAACTCCAATATGGCTACTCCTCATGAGGAAGCACCAAAGGAGGATGTCCGTGTGACCTCAGTTGAGAAACTGGAAGACTTTCCTAACCTTGACCTTAATGCTGAAGAGCTAGGGGACCTTCCTGTGGAAGAGGAAGAAGCAATGAGAAACCAGGAAGAGAATGGAGAACAGGAAGGGCTTGATGATCTCGGCACCAATGACAACTTTCCGGAGGAGTTTGAAAAACTTCAATCCACGGTGGCCGAGCAAGCATCTTCCTTGCTGTAGAAGAAATGCAGAGTCAATGAGCCTGAGGCTCAAGTTGCTGAGCAGAATGTTTCAATCGAAACGATCCAAGCTGAGCTCAACAAAGTTTATGCCGTCGCTCGTTAGTTTAAAAGATCTCTTGACCTCAAGGCCAACCAGATCAAGAGCCTTGAGGAAACTTTGAAGTAGCTGAATGCTACATGCATCAACATGGAATCGACCTGTACGACGCTGCAAGCGAATTATAGAGAGCTCAGGAGGGGCGGTATATATCGTCCCCCTCCTCGCAATGGGCAGCCTCCTACTTCTGCCGGAGCTCCAATGGAGCACCCGATGTCGCCTGACGCACCTGCATTTGGGTCGCTCCTCACTGCCTTGCCGAACTTCATTTATGGCAAGACGAACGTGGATTTTTTGCTTCATCATGTGGAGGATTTTCTTTCCATCCACAATGTGCTCCCCGACGCACGCGTTATTGCTGCTACTGGTGCTCTCGATGAGACTGCTCATAACGCAGTCTACAGCACTATGAAGCTTGCCTGGGCAACGTCGGCCACCTTCGAATGGTCCGATTTTTGCAGCGCGATGAAGGACGCTTTCCATGTGCAAAAGACTGATCTGGAAGTGTGCAACCTCATCAAGAGCATGCAGTGTGGAACACGAACTGTGCAGGAGTATGCCAACGAATTCTAACGGACTATGCTACTCCTATGAAGGCTTGCCCCAGTGGCTTCGCGAGAGGCTCTTGCTGGGCAGGAACCAGTACACTACGTACAAGGAGCTCAAAACAGTTGTTATTGATCTTGACGTGAGCGTCCCCACCTGCCTTAATGCCGCCAAAGGTCACTTGCAGAGCGAGGGTGGAGGCCCTAGTGGCCAGAACAATGCGGCGCAGCCTCCCAAGGAAACCGCGACTCCCTCATTTGGTCCTATGTAGCTCCCCAGCACGCTCAGCCCCCGTGGGCAGAAAGGTACGCCCTCGATTACTGCGTACCTGTTGTCTTTGGAAATGCTCCATGTTAGAATACTAGGAAGGAATGGTGATTAGGTCAAGGGGGAGGGGTACAAGAACAACATCGAGAGAAATTTTGTACCCCCTAGTGCTAGCCTACAACACATAAGCATATATGTTTTGACACACCCCCATAGGCGAAATGGGGGATAGCCAGAGAAAGCAATGGTCACAAGAACAGTCAAGAGAAACGACAAAACAAAGCAAGCTCAGGGTGGATCACGAAGTCACCACTCACTCTGAGCACAAGCAAATGGCCACAAGGCCAGTTCACATGCAGAGTTATATAATGCAGAACAAGCAATACAGTGATCAAAACCTAGTAAGTGCAAGCATGCAGGTATAAGTCTACATATCACAGTACAAGCAAAGTCAAGAAGAGCGCAAGTGAGGCCAAGTAGGGACAAGGCCTAGAGCAGTACAGAAACGCTGATGTTCACAAGGCTGAAGTGCCTTGGTGAAGATATCAGCAGTGTTGGCCCGAGAGGCCACGTAAATAAGACGAAGCTGACCACGCTGCTGCAACTCTCGAACAAGGAAGTAGCGCAGAGCAATGTGCTTCGTTCTGTGCTCCAGTCTGTGCTCCTGACACAAGGCAATCATGGCCTTGTTGTCGACGTACAGAACTGGAGGAGAACGAGGCGCCTCTCCCAAGTCGGTTAGCAGGTAGGTGAGCTAGCGTAACTCCTGTGCAGCCATCACCCCTGCGTAGATCTTAGCCTCACAACTGGAGCTGAGAACAGAAGACGAGCGGGTAGACCGCCACGAAACAGAACCGGAGCCAAGGCTGAAGGTGTAACCCTGTGACGACCGCTGCGTAGCCAAGTCGTCAACCCAAGAGGCATTTGCGTGACCAGTGAGGACAACTCGAGCCCATCCTCCAAGCACGAGCCCCATGCCCGACGTACTGCACAAGTAGCGAATCACCCTCTTAGCGGCCTACCAGTGCTCTGGTCGGTGTCTCCCGGGTGCAACGTAGCGTGCCAGGATGCTAAGAGGGTAAGAAGGTCAGGTCGAGTGCAGGTCACCAGGTACATGAGGCAACCCACAAGCTCTGGATACGGGCCAGTCAGCTCTACGGACTCATCCGAAGGCAGAGTTGAGAGCGAGTGACCGGTAGACAGAGGAGTGGACTGAAGCGAGGAGTACTGGAAAACGAAGCGCTGAAGGACCTGCTGCACCATGTGTGACTGAGTCAAGGTAATGGTGCGCCGTGCTCTGTCCCGGGTGATCTGCAAGCCAAGATAGCTGCGCAGCTCACCCAGGTCTGTGCACGTGTGTCTCTTCTGCAGCTCCGACTTCACGTGGGCCAGTCCAGCAGTGTCAGCAGTGGCAAATACCAAGTCGTCGACGTACACGAGGATGTAGAACGGCGGCAGGTAAGTGTCGGTGCGTAGAAACAGCGACGGGTCAGCAGTAGAAGGAGCAAACCCAAGAGCCGCAAGAGTCGTCCTCAGTGTGTTGTGCCACTCGCGAGGCGCCTGGCGGAGACCGTAGACTCGCCGCCGGAGGCTCCACTGGGTACCTGGAGGAAACGACCCAGTGAAGCCAGGTGGGCGTCGCAGCCAGATCTCCTCGTGCAGGCTGATTTGTAGGAAAGCAGTGCTGATGTCAAGAAAGTGAAGCTTGTAGTCACGCTGAGCGGAGACGTGCAGCAGAACCCGAAGAGTGGTCATCTTCGGGGTAGGGGAGAAGGTCTGGAAGAAGTCAACCCCCTATCGCTGACTGAAGCCTGGTGCAACGTAACGCGCCTTGAAGACAGGCGGAGAACCCGGCGGCCGCTTCACCTTGAAAATCCACATGCCACTGACGATGTTCGTGCCAGGAGGGGGAATCTCGTCGACGTAAGTGCCTGTGGACTTCCAGGATGCCATCTTTGCGTCCATGGCTGACTGCCACTAAGAGGAGTAGGGACCCTTTATCGCCTCTACGTAAGAGCGCGGGGGCGGGATGTCTGGTGCATCCGGCTCTCCCTCAGGTGCAATCAGCATGGACACGAGATGAGGTACAGCAGCTGCAAAGCACTCAAAGTCCTCGTGCCTGTCCTCAAGGACGTCCATCCCAAGAGCACACTCACCCCCAAAAGACGGAGGACACACAGACTCAGACTCAGCGACAAGACTAGTGGCGTAGTCGAGAGGACAGCTAGCAGCAAAGTCGACAAGCTCAGCAACTAGGGCAGACGCAGCAGTGGACTCAAAGGAAGGGTCAGTGACAACAGTGGCCAGAAGACGCGTGACAGTAGGACTAGCAGCACGAAGTGAGTCAGACTCAGGGTCTGGTCCGTCAGCAAGAGAGGACGCAGGAGGAGACGACACGGGGACATGCAGTGGAACAGAGGAAGGACGAAATGCCATCTGGTGCGTGCCGGGGACAGGAGGAGGACGCTGACGCGGAACACAACGACCAGTGCGAACAGCGCGAACAGGCGACGCAGGACGAGACGCAGGCTCACGACGCTCCGAAAGACCGCCGGGCTGCTCAATGTAAGGCGAGGGAGCCGCCAGTGGGGAGGCTGGCTGTAGCTGTGGCTGTGACTGGTCAGGCGGTGGACACAGTAAGGGAGGAGTAAGTGTTGAAGTTATATTTAATATATCCTGCATGCTGTAGTTACTGTAGTGTAGTTATCTGATTGTTTGCTTGGTGGTGCACCCGTTTGTTCTTTGCTATATGTTCTCTGAACCTATAGTGAATCTCAACCATTCTCACTTTCGCTTGGCCATGATTCTCTCGACATACGTTGGCCTAGGCTCCTAAGCCTAGGCCCTAAACCCTTATGTTAGATTCTTGACATGGTATGAAGCGATTAAGTTCCTAGACCTAAGTTAATGGGCCCACCATTACCGCTTGCCGCTGCCCGTAGACCCGCCCATAGATAATATTTTATTTTTTTCCCATGGCATGCGCGGCCCATGGCGAGCACGCCCACAACACTAACGGACCCACCAACGCGCTCGTCAGCAAGTCCACCGTCGAACCCGCCAGCGCGCGCATCAGGAAGCCCGTCGTCGGACCCGCCGGCGCGCGAGTCAACGGGCCCGCCGACAAACCCACCGACGGGCTCGTCACCGAGCCCGCCAACGCCCTCGCTAGCGGACCCGCCGACAGATGCGCCGACGGACCCGCCAGCGAGCTCAGCAACGGACCCGCGAGCTCGCTAGCAAAATCGCCAGTGGCCCGCCAGCGAGATCGCCAGCGCGTTCGCCCCACCGTCGGACCCGCCGACGAGCACGCCAGACCGCTCGCCAACCGACGCGCCCGCCAGCTCTCCCACCGATGCGCCAGCCAGCTCGCCACAACAGCCGCCAGCCGCCAAAGGGACCGCCAGCAGTTATAACGCCAGCGACACCGCCAGCAGAGACCCCCGCCAGCAGCGCAACCGCCAGCAGAGACCCCCGACAGCAGCGCAACCGCCAGCAGAGACCCCCGCCAGCAGCGCAACCGCCAGCAGAGACCCCCGCCAGCAGCGCAACCGCCAGCAGAGACCCCCGCCAGCAGCGCAACCGCCAGAAGAGACCCCCGCTAGCAGCGCCACCGCCAGCAGAGACCCCCGCCAGCAGCGCAACCGCCAGCAGAGACCCCCGCCAGCAGCGCAACCGCCGGCAGAGACTTTTGCCAGCGCCAGCCACATGCTCTGCCGCCCGCCCCTCTATCCCCCCCCCCCTCCACCGTCGTCTCCCCTCCCGCGGCTACTGCTGTGAAGAGGAGGTGGCGGGGACGGGGGGTTGGGGGGTTGGCCGCCGTGAGCAGAAGCAGCACAGCCGCCTCCTCCTCTCGCTCACTCCCGCGTGTGTCATTGAGTGTGGGGGGCTGAGGAGGTGGCGGTAAGGATTCTGCAGGGACTACCATGGGTGGGGTAGGGGTGTGGAGGAAGGAAGGGGGGGAGGGGGTGCGGTCCAAGGGGGCGGCTGCTATGGGGGGTGAGGTTAAGGGGGGGTGGTTGAATGGGTGTGGGGTTTTGGGGGGTTACTAAGAGGGGTTTTGCCGTGCTTGGCTCCCCCCCACCTCCTCTCCTCATCACTTTCTCACCTCCCCCCTTTGTAAAAGGGGGTTATAACGAGGGTTTCGCCACGGGTGGCTCCCCCTCAACTCCTCGCCTCATCCCTCTCTCACCTCCTCCTTCGTACTTCGCTCCTTTCCTCTCTTCTCTCTCTCTCGCCTCCTCCTCCTCATTAAACTTTCTGCCGTCTTCCACTGTGCCAGGTGTACCCCTTCAGAGGGTGTTGACTGCACTAGTTAACATTGCAAGCAGGCTAAGGGGGTGTGTTAAAGTTATACTTAATCTATCCTGCTTGCTGTAGTTACTGTAGTGTAGTTATCTGATTGTTTGCTTGGTGGTGCACCCGTTTGTTCTTTGCTAGATGTTCTCTGAACCTATTGTGAATCTCAACCATTCTCACTTTCGCTTGGCCACGATTCTCTCGACATACGTTGGCCTAGGCTCCTAAGCCTAGGCCCTATACCCTTACATTAGATTCTCGACAGTAAGGCCAGTAGAAGGCGGGAGACCAAGAACCTGCTCAAGCAGTGGAACGAAGTACGGTCGCGGTCGCGCAGTGCCTCCAGAACCAGCTTCGACAGCACCAGCACCCCAAGGGCCAGCACCTCCAGCGCCACCAACTCGACTAGTAGCACCTCCAGCACCACCAGCTCCAGCAGCAGCACCTCCAGCACCGCCAACTCCAGTAGCAGCACCTCCAGCACCGACAGCTCCAGCAGAAGCACCTCCAGCACCGCCAGCTCCAGCAGCAGCACCTCCAGCACCACCAGCTCCAGCAGCAGTACCTCCGGTACCACCAGCGCCAGCAGCAGCACCTCCAGCACCGCCAGCTCCAGCAGCAGCACCGCCAGCACCACCAGCGCCAGCAGCAGCACCGCCACCACCACTCCCACTGCCTCCACCACCGCCACTGCCGCCACCACTCCCACCACCACTCCCGCCACCACTCCCGCCACCACTCCCGCCACCGCTCCCACCACCTCCACCGCCTCCACCGCCTCCACCGCCTCCACAGTCTCCACCGCATCCACTACCCCCGCTGCCACCCCCACCTCCCTTGAGCGCCTTGCCCTTGCCGCTGCGGCGCTTCCCACTAGGAGCAGAAGCAGCCCCGACCTCCTCAGCACCAAGGAAGTCGACAGCATTAGCAGAGGCGAAGGAGGGGGTAAGTGTTGGTGCAACCCTACGGTTTGCACTCGGCTTGTTGTCCGTGTGCGTGCATGTGTGTGTATATGGAATGGTATGAGGGCATGGGATAATATATATTTCATGCTTATAATTGTGTGTGAATGTTGAGTCATGATGTCGAGTGTGTGTGTCGAGTCAATAGCGAGTTATCGCTAGACGCGTGTTACGCGGTCGTTTGTGTCTCGCGCGCGGTTTCTATTTTGTCGTGCGCGGTTTCTATTTTGTCCTGTGTCGAACGTTCGGCGTGTCGCAGGTGTGTGCAGCAGACCCATCAAGAACTCAAGGATGAGTTTGTGATGAAGAGCCCGAGCCTTGGTGTCAAGCCTCAAGTGATTTCGAAGCTCGCCAAAAGGGTACACCTCAAGATATTGAAGATAGTTACATTACTTTGTGTAGTGTAACATTTCACTTGGTGTAGGCCCTAGTGAAGGGTAGTTTCGAGACCCTTCGTGGTTGGGGACAGTGTGGCACTGTTCCACATCACTGTACCTCGGCTCTTGGGGTTTGTAGGAGCTGGGAGTCATTCCCAACTCGTAACTCTTCCTAACTCTTCCTATCTTGTGTTCTAAGACTATAGTGGCTGCCATAGTGCCGTTCGTTCAAACTAGCGCTGTGTCGTCAATACTTGGTGAAATCGTGCGATCTAAATTGCCTATTGTAGGCGACAACAAGACGCTGTAGATCCAAGTTGAATCAAGTCATTTGAAGCTGTGGCCAGAACGCTATGAACGATTGAAGCCGCTATGCAGAAATCCGACTGTGCACTCTATCTTTCGTTTTAGGCACATTGGAGCCTACTGTGTCTATAACAAGTGGTATCAGAGCCCCTTGGAGCAGTTTCGACAATTGCTAGACCTGAGGAAAGGGGTGGCAGAGGTGCTGGTGGCAGTGGAGAAGCCCAAGCTCAAGGCCAACCCCGTGACTCAGCCATGGCGCCCGTGCAACCAAGTGTTGGCCCATCTAGGGACGAGCCTAGAGTGTTTGGCCTTGACAAGTTCAACGGTGACAACTTTGCTGAGTGGTCCTTCAGAATGGAGAACGTGTTTGATCACTATGACCTGCTGGAGGTGATGGAAGGAACGGAGAAACGCCCCGAGAACGACCCGGAGAAGAGCCCGTGGGTGCGGAAGAGCGCACAAGGCTACCTCCTACTAGGGCAAGCGTTGGGGAGCAGCCAGATCCGTCACATCAAGCCTTTCCAGCGTGAACCAGAGAAGGGACCAAAGGCATGGGCTGTTGGTGCAACCCTACGGTTTGCACTCGGCTTGTTGTCCGTGTGCGTGAATGTGTGTGTGTATGGAATGGTATGAGGGCATGGGATAATATATATTTCATGCTTATAATTGTGTGTGAATGTTGAGTCATGATGTCGAGTGTGTGTGTCGAGTCAATAGCGAGTTATCGCTAGACGCGTGTTACGCGGTCGTTTGTGTCTCGCGCGCGGTTTCTATTTTGTCGTGCGCGGTTTCTATTTTGTCCTGTGTCGAACGTTCGGCGTGTCGCAGGTGTGTGCAGCAGACCCATCAAGAACTCAAGGATGAGTTTGTGATGAAGAGCCCGAGCCTTGGTGTCAAGCCTCAAGTGATTTCGAAGCTTGCCAAAAGGGTACACCTCAAGATATTGAAGATAGTTACATTACTTTGTGTAGTGTAACATTTCACTTGGTGTAGGCCCTAGTGAAGGGTAGTTTCGAGACCCTTCGTGGTTGGGGACAGTGTGGCACTGTTCCACATCACTGTACCTCGGCTCTTGGGGTTTGTAGGAGCTGGGAGTCATTCCCAACTCGTAACTCTCCCTAACTCTTCCTATCTTGTGTTCTAAGACTATAGTGGCTGCCATAGTGCTGTTCGTTCAAACCGACGCTGTGTCGTCAATACTTGGTCAAATCGTGCGATCTAAATTGCCTAATGTAGGCGGTAATAAGACGCTCCAGATCCAAGTTGAATCAAGTCATTTGAAGCTGTGACCAGAACGCTATGAACGTTTGAAGCCGCTATGCAGAAATCCGACTGTGCACTCTATCTTTCGTTTTAGGCACATTGGAGCCTACTGTGACTATAACAAGTGGTATCAGAGCCCCTTGGAGCAGTTTCGACAATGTCTGGACCTGAGGAAAGGGGTGGCAGAGGTGCTGGTGGCAGTGGAGAAGCTCAAGCTCAAGGCCAACCTCGTGATTCAGCCATGGCGCCCATGCAACCAAGTCTTGGCCCACCTAGGGATGAGCCTAGGGTGTTTGGGCTTGACAAGTTCAACGGTGACAACTTTGCTGAATGGTCCTTCAAGATGGAGAACATCTTTGACCACTATGACCTGCTGGAGGTGATGGAAGGAACGGAGAAGCGCCCCGAGAACGACCCGGAGAAGAGCCCGTGGGTGCGGAAGAGCGCACAAGGCTATCTCTTACTTGGGCAAGCGTTGGGGAGCAGTCAGATCCGTCACATCAAGCCATTCCAGCGTGAACCAGAGAAAGGACCAAAGGCATGGGCTGCTCTCAAGGGTGTACATGCTCCTGCAACAGCGGCGGTAGCGGTGGTGTTGGAACGGCAAATGGCGGCACTACGAATTGAAGAAGACGAAGCGGTTGAAGAAAAGGTGCAGAAATTCTTCGACTTGTTGACGCGGCTTGAGGGAGCTGATTTGAACTACAGTGAGCTCCAAAAGAAGATCAAGTTGCTGGCCTTACTCCCAGAGTCATGGTCCTCGCTCATCATCAACCTTAATCGCGACTTGCCCCGCCTCTCGCTTGAAGACGTGAAGCGAGCTATCCTTCAAGAGGATTTCCGCCGCCGTGAGTTGGCGAGTGCGGATGGCGCTGGGGCAGCGAGCATCGGCCATGGATATGGTCGAGGAAGAGGCAGAGGACGAGGGGGAGGAAGGTTTGGTGGCAGCAACTTCGGCGGAGGCCGCAGGAGTGGCGGTTACGGCAGCGACGACAAGAGCTACGGACGCGGTCGCGGCCGATTCGACGGCGAGTGTCACTATTGCCACAAGAGCGGACACATGTGGCGCGACTGCTACAAACTCCCTGATGGTTGGACCCCTGCTCAAGGCCAAGAGGGTAGAGGAGCAGGAGGAGGGAGAGGACGAGGCCGTGGAGGCCGTGGCGGTCGCGGTGGCGGAGCTGCAAACATGAAGAGCGGAGACAACGACAAGGACCCGAGCGACGATCGATACCCGGGTCTATTCTACTTCGTGTCGACGCAAGTACCGGCTGGTCCAGAGAAGGATGAAGGCTTTGAGGAGCCAGCAGCTGTGGGGAAGGTGACCCTACACCCCCTGGACTATTGGGTGATTGATAGTGGCGCTACCTATAGCATGACACCTCGCCCGGACTTGCTCACCGAACTCGAGCCGTCACCGGTGAAGCATGTCACATCGGCTTTGGGGCAGCGAGCAGAGGTGAAAGGCATGGGCAAGGCCATGTTCAAGGGTGCTGATGGGAAGATGGTGGGCCTCAAGAACGTGCTTTGGGTGCCCAGCCTTGCTGCAAACCTGATTTCCGTGCGGCGGTTGGCAAAGGCCGGCATGGACACGAACTCGAAGGGAGCCAAGACCTACACCGCAAGGCTTGGCGATCGAATTCTTTGGGACCTTCATGAGGACAGGGATGTCTACAACGAGATGTGGCAGATCCCAGTGGTCCCTATGCCTAAGGAGAGGCAAGTGGCAGCAAGCATCAGCACCAAGGATGGAGCGGTCGGTAGCGACGATGGCGCGAACGGTCGCGCTAAGGAGA